AAGGGGGAGAGAGGAACACTGACTCGGGCAGTTGGACCACTGACATGGAGGGGGTTGACCCCCACAGCATGAGCTACGTGGCCTTAGCTGTGGTGAGGCCAGTCAGGGGGCAAAGGGGGAAGAGCCTGAAAACCAGGAGAAGGGACCCTCCCTTGGGTGGACACATCAAGGCAGCTGGCCTGCAGCACAAATACTTGATGGCCGGAGCCAGAGGTAGTCCTCCTCCTTGGTGAACATCGCTCAGTGTTGCGGGGTGGGGGGAACAGGTCCAAGGAATGGAGTGAGGGACAGGAGATGGTCAGATTTCTTTCACCATGAAGCAGGAGCAGCAACATTAGATGACCGGTGGGGGGTGGAATTGGCATCCAAAATAAAAAATAACGCTTTGGCTCATTAACGAGAATATTTCGTCAGCTAGCCGCACTAGCTGTGTCAGTGTTGAATGGTGTAGGTTGAAGGTCAAGCCTCTCGCATGGCCGTGACATATTTATCTGCAGCGACAAACAAAGCCAAATGCCATCAAAACCCACTTACACATCACATGCTGGGCCACAGCTACGCTGGAACAAGGAAAAGGAGTCATCGCTTGATGTGTACGTCTATTGTTCCCCTCCGACTTTCATCAACACAACCTCCAGAGAGAGTTAGTGAGGGACAGAGGGCTGCATGCCCTCGAACAAGCAGCCCACTCGAATAGCCCACTCACGTTCCTCTGCTTAAAGGGTGTGTGGGCAGCGCTGTGGTTCCTCACACGCCCAAAGTGCCAATTAAGTAATCGTTGTTGTGTTGGAAATGAGCCAGCTGAAGCAGACAATGTCCAAATGACATGGACAATATCCAGGGTTTGGACTAACAAGTGGCAAGTAACATCTGTGCCACACAAATGCCAGGCAATGACCATCCCCAGCAAGAGAGAATCTAACCATCACCTCTTGATGTTCAACCGCACAGTAATCACTGAAACTGTCACTATCTACATCCAGGGGCTTAATCTTAACTAGAAACTGAACTGGACTGTTCGTATAAACACAGTGGCAAGTCAGAGGCTAGGAATACTGCAGCAAGTAACTCACCTCCTGACTCATAGAGTCATACAGCATGGAATCAGACCCTTCGGTCCAACTAGTCCGTGCCGACCATGTTACCAAACCAAACTAGTCCCACTTGCCTGTGTTTGGCCCATATCCTTCCAAACCTTTCCAATTCATGTACTTATCCAAATGTCTTTGAAATGTTGGAAATGTACCAGCATCCACCACTTCCTCTGGCAGCTCATTCCACACATGAGGAACTCTGTGTAGAAAAGTTGCCCCCCAATGTCCTTTCTAAATAGTTCTCCTCTCACCTTAAAAATATGTCCCCTTGTTTTGAATTCCCCCATCCTAGGGAAAAGAGCCTTGTTATTCACTTTATCTATACCCCTCATGACTTTATAAATCTCTAAAAGATCACCCCTCAACCTTCAAAGCCTGTCCGCCATCTACAAGGCACAAGTCCAGAGTGTGATGGAATACTCACCACTTTCCTGGATGAGTGCAGCTCCAACAACACTCAGGAAGCTTGACACCATCCAGGACAAAGCATCCCGCTTGACCGGCATCACATCCACAAACACTCATTCCCTCCACCGCCAATGCTCAGTAGCAGCAGTGTGTACCATCTACAAGATGCACTGCAGAAATTTACCAAACATCCTCAGACAGTACCTTCCAAACCCATGACCACTTCCATCTAGAAGGACAAGGGCAGCAGATACATGGGAACACCACCACCTCCAAGTTCCCCTCCAAGCCACTCACCATGCTGATTTGGAAATATACTGCCCATTTCGTTCACAGTCGCTGGGTCAATATCCTGGCCATGGTTGCAACTCTTCTGTGTAACTGATCAAAGCCTTCCCAGCCTGTCAGTTTCATTGACAATCCCTCCTCACTGTGCACTCACCTCAAAGCCACTGGCAACTTAACAGCAGGTCAGAAAGAGGTTCCATAACTGGAAAACCCAGGATTCAAGGGAAAAGGGCCTCGGAATCGATTCTTTAAAATTCTCAATGACTTTTTAATCACTTGCCGATCCTCTCCGAGGGGAATCCTGTTCAGGCCTGACCCCTGCTGGTAAAGCTCCAGCCCACGCTGTGTTCTGTCTCTGCCGCTATTACTGGTTATGGCGGTGCGTTCTGTCTCTGTCCCAACGGGACTGAGTTCTCAATAGAAAGTTGGCAATCCAAGGTAGGGATCAATTCTAGGATCTGATGCACTCCATCAGTTTCCCCCCCCCAATGCCCGCACCCCCCAACTTTTTATTCTTTTGTGGGATCACTGTCAAGGTCAGCATTTTTTTGTGCACCCTTGAACGGAGGAATTTGTGAAGCCATCTGTGATTACACCCTGTGCCTGGAGTCACGTGTAGGCCACAGCAGGGTAAGGATGTAAGGACTGAAGGATCTGAGTGAACCCAACAGCTGATTCTGAAGAAACAACTATTCCTTCACAGTTACCATTTACCGCCACTGGACTTCAATCAAATTCCAAGTTTGATTAGAGACTTTTAAGCGACTCTTGGATAGGCACATGGAGGGTAGTAAAATGTAGGGTATGCAGGGTAGATTGATCTTAGTAGGGTAATACGTTGGAACAGCATCGTGGACCGAAGGGCCTCTACTGTGCTGTGCTGTCCTATGTTCTAAAGTCTACCTTGGTAGGATCAGTATGAGTCTGAATGACCAGTCAAGTGACATGGCCTGCTAGATCACTGCCCTAAGACCCAGCTGAATTTCTTTAAGTGGCTGAGATTTTTAATCAGTAAAATAATACGAGGGTTTCAGGGAAAAGGCAGGAAAGTGCGGTTGAGGGTTATCAGGTCAGCCACGATCTCGTTGAATGGCGGAGCAGGTTAAACTGGCTGAATGGCCTCACTCTACTCCTATGCCTTATGGTTTAACTTGGCAAGTGACAACCACTTAGTGGGCCCACCACCCCACCCCCGGCAATCACCATCCAGTCATGTCCCCTGCCGCCTCACAGCGAGGCAGGCTGGGTAACGCGTACCCGCTCACGTTCACCATTCATAACTCCGGCATGAGGCCTCAATGACCAGGCCCAAAGTTCTTCCTTCCGCTGTTAATGGTTTCACACCCCGCCCCCCCCACCTCCATCCCCCCGCCCCGTGTCCAGCCACGCCTGCCGCTCCAGCGTGGGAGGCCGGGGTGTGGACTGTTTCCCCTCACTGGCTGGTTTCATTGCCGTGAGGGTGCGTCCTGCTGCACATGCGCGGACTGGTCTCACTCCCTGAGACGCTCCTTCAGGAAGAACCGCAAGCTGCTGGCCAATCAGCATGGAAGCTAGCTTCCCAACCTGCCTCTGACTCTGTGACAAACTTTAGCCCACCCAGCTGATACCTTTGCTTAGCTGTCTCGCTGCCGTATTTGTAGGCCTTTTCCTCTCTATTTCACTCTGCACCTGCCTCGCCACCTCAATCCCTGTTTCTGCTGCCTCTCACTCTTTATAACTCTCCATTTGGGTACTGCTCTCCAGCTATAATCTGTTTGCCTATCTCCTGCCTCTACAGAAATCTACTTACGTTGTTACCTTTTATTGTCCATCTCTCCATCCATTCATCTATCTATCTGTCTGGCTGGCTGTTTATCTATCCATCTTAAGGTGTGTCTGTATTTCTATTCCACTGTATGTCTTAGTCTATATATATCTTTACCAGTGAGTGTATACAATCACTTATTCAATATCTGTCTGTGCAAATTTCTCTCTATCTGTGCACCACTTAGTTCACATGTGTATTTGTGAACCAAGTGCTCTGTGTGTGTGCGTGTGTGCATACATGTGCACATGTGTGTGTGTTTGTACATGTGTGCACGTGTGTGTTGCCATGTGAGTGTGGGTGTGTGTGTGCATGTGTGTGTGTGCTTGCGTGTGTCCCTGTCGCTGTGTATTTGCCAGAGCGTGTTTATAACATCTCTATCCCTTCAGCCTATCGCTACAACCCTCACTGGAAACAACCATTTTACTGTTATGACCTACATTTACAATTACTTCCACTCAGTGAAGTTAGTGCTCTGTGAACCGTTTCTCAACTGAGCGCTCAGTGGTCACGGTGCTGTAGACAGGAGACATGATACAGAAAGCTCCTCAGGTGGGCCATAAAGCACTAGCTCACCGTAAATCTTACCTGGGTTCTGTGGCAGCTGCAATGTCCATGCCCAGGTGATGTGGTTTGGGCATCGTGGCAATGAAATGGAGGTTTGCGGGGTTAAAAAGTCGCACTGTCCCATCAGCACAGCCGCAGAAGATAAAGTCCTCACTGACCGATAAGCAGTTGGCTGTTGTGGTCTGCGTGCAAGGCAGAGCATCATCATTATATTACACTCACTGGAACTTCTCCAGAAGGCATTTAAAAAAAACTCTCGTAACATGGATGGATGTATGAACAGGGAGGGTTGAGAGAGATATAGGCCAAATGCTGGCAAATGAGACTAGATTAATTCTAGTCAGCAAGGACAGGTTGGACCGAAGGGTCTGTTTCTGTGCTGTACATCTCTGTGACTCTGGCTGTATAACTGTGGATATTCTCCTCAAAAGAATTTCCAAACAATTTGTTACTGTATTAAACAGGGGTCATTTCATACTGCCAAGGATTTTGGTTGTAGGCAACAACAGATACACACACACACACACACACACACAAAATCAAACACACGCAGAGTTGCACACACACAGTTACACAGTCTGTCTCTCTCTCTCACACGCACGCGCACACACACACACACACACACACAGTCTCTCTCACACATGCACACAGATTCTCACATACACAGTCTCTCTCTCTCTCTCTCACACACACACAGTCTCACACAGAGTCTCACACAGACCACAGTCTCTCTCTCTCTCTCTCACAGACACACACACACACACAAACATTCTCTCTATCTCTCTCTCTCTCACACACACACACAGTCTTATACACACAGTATCTCTCTCTCTCTCACACACAGTCTCTTTCACACACACAGTCTCTCTCTTTCTCACACACATACATGAACACATAGCTTCTCTCACACACATGTGCACACAGTCTCTCTCTCTCACACACAGTTTCTGTCACACACACGCACAGTCTCTCTCACATACATACACCTAGTCTCTCTCTGTCTCTCCTTCACACACACACAGTCTCTCACACACTGTCTCTCACACACATACACAG